AGGGTTCGTTCTAGTGGTGTAACTTGCTGTCCTGCAAGAGCAGGAGGTTGGACTTGATGGCCTTCATGGCCCCTTCCAGCATTACTGTTCTATGATTCCAGTGTGAGCGAATGAACCAAGCTGGGGGCTCATCCCTTCCCTCTGGACTTATTTTATTTATTTATTTATTATTTTTATTTTCTGATTTATATCCTGCCTTTTTCCTACGAAGGGCTCAAGGCAGCTTACATAATTCTCCTTCTCCTCTCAATTGTTTCCTCACAACAACAACCCTGTGAGAGTCTGTGACTGGCCCAAAGTTTCCCAGTTGGCTCCATGGCTGAGCGGGGACTCGAACCCAGATCTCTTAACCACGACACCACACTGGCTTCCCACGTGGATCCATTCCCTTCCCCAGTCCCACTTCCTTTCCCATCCGCTGATCTCTCAGTAGTCTCACTAGCGTCAGAGTAGCTCTTGGCCTTACGCTAAGTGGAAATAGTGCGGGTTTTGTTGGGTGTTCTGGCCAGCTTCCTGACTGAGGACTCTGGAAGTTACTCAACGATAAAGCTCACCCCTTAATGGAGAGAAGTGGCCCAGCACTGCTGTTGGCAAATCATGATCGGAAGCTGGCTGTGGTGTAATGGCTAAGAACTTGGGACTGGGTTCAAGCCCCCCATTCAGCCATGGACTTTGGCTGAAAGTCCCAGACACTCAGCCCAAGCTACCTCACAAGGTTGTTGTTCTGGGGGGATAAAATGGATAGCTGGAGGAGAATGATGTACACCACCTTGCGTTTGTTGGGGAAAAGATGGATATAAAACAAACAGGTGTTTCAAAGAGCATTTGAAAGCTAAAATAGGCTGGTTCTCTGGGGTTAACTTTTTATGAATTTGCCCCACTGCATTTGCCTTTGAGGATGCTATCCGTAGAAGGCACCCCTTGAGAGCTTCTTCACGGTGGAAGTTGGAACCCAGGTTGAAGAAAATTCTCCACCTGGTGAAAACAATGCCTAGCTAGAGAATCAGACGTTCTGAGTTAGCACAGAGCTGCTTCCTGTGGACCTCTTTCAATCAGCCCTTTGTTCAGAACAATGAGGACTGGTACCTTGTCACCCCCTTCTTTGCTTCCCAAAGGCATCTTGCTGGCCGTGGCATGACCAAGGTGCAACCAAGTGACGCAATTTGTGTAAGCCTGAACTTCTGTGTCTCCGAAGTTCTGTGACTTATCATCATCTCAGCTTTGCATCATCTGCTTGTGAACTAAGCCATTTTTATCAATTCCCCTTCTCATACCCACCCTCCTTCGAGAAGGGAAGAAACTAGGGCACCACCTTTCAGGGTATCTTGGATGCTTTGAGTACTTTCTGTTCTCCAGCTGCAAGGGAGCAATTTCTGTACATTTCTCACCTGCTCTTCTTAATACAGCAACACTCGAGCTGTTTTGAGGAAAACAACCATTCTGCCTCACACACACATACATACACACTCCTCAGCTGTCTAATCACTTCCTCTCATTTTTTCAGGCCCCTTTCCAGGTGGTTGCACAGTGTAACTGCATGAACATCTCAGCCAAGCTACTTTTCTGTTATATCCTGCTCTGTTTGGGAGTTTGGGGGTGCTCCTCGACCCGGAACTGTCCCTGGAATCCCAGGTGGCGGCCATGGCGAGGAGCGCTTTCCTTCAGCTCCATAAGCTGCAGCCCTGTCGGGATGGGCAGTGCCTGGCAGCGGTGACCCATGCGCTGGTAACTTCCCAGTTGGACTACTGCAACGCGCTCTACGTGGGGCTACCCTTGAAGATGGTCCAGATACTTCAACTGGTTCAGAATAGAGCTGCCAGGCTGTTAACAGGGACCGACAGGGCTGAACAGATAATGCCGGCCCTTTTCCACCGACACTGGCTACCAGTCGAAGCCCAGGCCTGATTTAAGGTGCTGGTGATGACCTAGAAAGCCCTAAACAGCTCAGGGCCTGCTTACCTGAAGGAGCGTCTCCTTCCATACGTGCCTGCCCACCCCTTAAGATCTGGGGCAGACGCCCTTCTCCGGGAGCCCTGCCTGAAGGAGATTAGAAGGGTGACTACCTGGAGAAGAGCCTTCTCTGCGGTGGCACCCTGGTTACAGAATGTGCTCCCCAGAGAGGTTTGCCTGGTGCTGTCACTTTATTCTTTTCAGTGCCAGGCCAAAACCTTTTTATTTTCTCAATGTTTTAAGACCTTGACTGTTTTAATTGGGGTTTTATTGTTAGATGAATTTTTAGGATGCTGTGTTTTACATTTTTTACATTTGTATTGTTAAACCGTCCCAAGACTTTAGTAATGGGACAGTCTAGAAAAGTTTTAAATAAAATTTTAAAAATAAATATTTCATGGACTCAGAATAGCTGATGGGGGCATATTTCGGCATTCTGACAAGCTTGGAAAATAGAACATGTTTGCTGAATAAAAGGAGCCAAAGGAAGTGAAAGCAATGCTGCAAACAAAACATCAGTAAGATGAACTGGTCCCAGTGCCAGCCACAACCCTTTTCTAGAGACTCCATTCCATTTCGTCTCCCCATGCCTGGTTTTCCATCCAATCCACCACAGTCAGCCAGTATTCCATAACCACTGAGCATTTTTCATCCTCAATGGGATCTTTGCTGCCCTTACAACAGCAGCAAATTCCATTTTGGAGTGTTTTTCTGCGTTGCTGCCCGCGGTTGGCATGACCAAAGTAAAACAGGGACTGAACCAAAAATGCCACCCTCTTGAAGCTGAAAATACTCCTATTCCCAGTCAGTAAACCCTAGAAGCAGCATTTTGGCCTTTTGGGATTGTGGGGTTAACGAAGTGCATAAAAGCCAAACGTGTATAGTAGCAGAAAGGGAAAAGGAGTGGCCGTCTGGGTCAGGATGCCTGGCCAGTGATGAGGTCTGTGTGGAGGGTGCCGTTGAGCTGAATATCTTAGGAAATAAAACAACAGCAGTCCACAAATCCTGATGCGATATTCAGCCAACTTTGCAAAGCTAAGCTTCCGCCATCAAGGGCAGGGTGCGGCCTTCTGCTCCCCCTCCAGCCCTCACTCCCACAACATCAGATGGCAGCCTTTGAAACTTGTCGCCTGAACTTGGCAAATGGGGATGAGATAACGATCTTCAGATAATTGGCATGCAAATGAAGCTCCAAGGATTTGTCTTGCTGCTTCAGCTGTAATTCCCCCCTCTTCCTTTGCCTTTCTGAAGGGTGCTTTTTTTTTCTTTTACTTCTTTTTTTCATGAGTTTGGAAAGAAAATAGGCCTGCTATTTGCATAACATCCAGAATCCCTCTTTCTCCTTACCCTCCGCCTTACAAAAGGCATTCTGATGAGGATGAGGACAATAGCCAGAGCATAACAAGGAAGAAAATCTTTGTCATCTAACATTTGCTGCTGGAGCAGCCAGGATGCAAAACCTTGTTTGGACCCCTTCAGAGCCCTCTCTGTGCCATTGCTGTCTTTTTCACCTCCTTCCCTCTCTCAGCTGCTCTGTGCGTGCATGTGTGCCCAGAGATGCATGCACACATGCATGTGTGCGTGCGTTTGGACTGTATTCCACAAAAGTAATAAATGTGCTCGTCTCCAAAGTGCCATGAAATGCTCTTCTTGGTGCGGTTGGTGGCTTTTGCCACAGACTAACACATCTACCCCTCTGGAGATGTTTGTGCATGAGCCAGTGGTTTTTAACCACGGACCCGGCGCTGGGAACAATAGATGGCAAGAGAAGAAGGGGATGAGGCGGCTGGATGGAGTCACTGGGGCAGTGGGCGTGAGCTTTGGTGGACTCCGGGGGATGGTGGAGGACAGGAGGGCCTGGAGGAGTCGGACAGGACTTCGCGACTAACAACAACAACCACAAGCGCTGGTCCACGGATTTCCTGCTGGTCCATGGAGTGACCACCTCCCGCTTGCCAGGGACCAGCCTGGAGGCCGGTTCTGCTCCACCACCTCTTCCTCAGTTGGCACTGCATTCATGGGGGTGTGCCAGTGCTGCTGGTGGGGACAGGGAGGAGAGAGACGGCCCAGTGGGAGCCAGCGGGGAGCTCCACCACACTGATTTCAGTATTTTGTTCTTTTGTTGGCATTTTTTGTTGCTCAGTTTCTGGCTGTTTTGGAGAATTTTCATTTTTTGGCATTGTGTTTGCAAACTAATTCACAGCATACTGTATTATGTGTATGGCACTTTTGGTTTCTGCCTCAGTGGCCCCCAAGGTTTTTTCCCCTGTTTTTGCTGGTCCCCAGCTGTGGAAAGTTTGAAAACCACTGTTCTAAGCATACAACTGCTCCTATGATTGCGGCCTACTGAGAATTGAATTGACAAAAGCTCTCTTCAGAAAGAAGAGGAGGGGAGGGCTATTTCTCCATGTGTGTGCGTGAATTAATTCCGTGGGGCTTTATTTACAAAGGGATTCTGTTGGACAGTGGCCTTGTCATGCTGCATGGAGAAGGCTAATATTAACTAATTTGGAGGATTTCTATCCTGTCCATTGATAAGTCATTTGCAGTGTGTTCTTCAAAGTAGTCAAGGCAATGCAGAATGGTGGGATTACTGGGAAGTGGTTGAGTTGCCATGGCCTTTGTCTGAAAGCAAAGCCAAACATTTGCAAAACATTTGGGTCTGTCCACCACTGCCTGCAGTTCCCCAGTTCTGAATATAGCCTCCTATTCCCAGGATCTAAACAGATGGCCAGTAGCAGGTATGGGATATTGCATGCTGGCCACTATCAAAATGCAATTGTGTGCCAGCCAGCCACTGCAGCCCAATAATGAAATGCCATTACGAATGAAGCTCAGCAAATGTCTCTCACAGGACAAACACGGTGCACCTCGTGCCAATGAATTCCCTAAATGGATCGTGCAACTTTGGATGGAGTATCTTCCCTTTGTTTGCCCTTGGTCTTCTGGTCTTTTAAACATGAGGAGGGAGGGAGGGAGAGATTCTTGAAGCTGTGATTGTGTCCCCCCCCCACCTTCATATTTTATGAATTTGATCTTTGCAAATCCAGAGACGAGCCGACGAATTGACTCCATTCCACCCACGCTGATGGGTGGGTCAGCGCTGGGCAAAAACTGGGAAGAACCAGGTACTTCTCTTTTCAAAGACTCTCTTCTCTCTCTCTCTCATTCTCTCTCTCTCTGGTCCCTCTTTTCTTTCTCTCTCTTTGCCCCTATTTTCTCTCTTTCTTTACCTTCTTTCTCTCCTTTTCTCCTTCTGCTACCCTTTTAATGTCTCTTTCTGCTCCTTTCTCCTGCACTCTCTCTCTCATCTTTTCTCTTTCCCTCTCTCTTTCTCTCTACTATCCCATTTCTCTTTTTCCCCTGATACCCTTTTAAACTTTCCTTCTGCCCCCACCTTCTCTCCCTCTCTTTCTCATCTCTCTCTCTTTCTCTCTCTGTCTTTTCTTTCTGGCGCCCCCTTTTCTCTGCCTCTCCTTCTTGCTCTTTTTCTGTCAATTCCTTCCCTCTATTGCACGTTCTCTTCTCGCTCTCTGTCTCGTCCTCTCAGCCTCTTATTCTCCTTTTTCTTCAGCCTTAGCCAGCCACGTACCATGGGAGGGAAAGATGTTATGGGTCTGACCTTATAGTTTGCAGAAGACTTGTAAATTCAGGGCAGGGGCCACAGGACACCCAATAGCATCGAACTTACTGCCCAACAGACACCCACACAATTTTTTTTTAAATACACATTCACAATTTTGAACAGATTTTTTAAAAATGCAGATTATCACAAACAGTTCTGTCCCCCTCTCTTTTAAACCACAACTTCTTAATTTTATTTTTTATTTTTTTGGCATTAAAAAATCTGTTTGATTTGGTATCAAGCTGAGGGTGGGAGCAGGAATGTGCCGGTTTTGTTAAACCTGTGTTCTGCAGACTATTACATCATCCGTGCACTGACAGAATTCGATGTTTTCTAAACCAGTGTTTCATTCTACTCGCTTTCTCTGCCCGAGTGCTGACACACAGCTGGGCAGTGACGCCAACACGCTGGCGGTGATGTGCGTTTGAACAAATGCCCATCATCAGTAATGTGAATTAGCATAATTTGCCCCACCCCAAAGTCAAAAAAGTGACTCTCAAGTCGGTGGAATTCATGCCACTTGGAAGAAGCCAGGGTGCTACAGATTCTATGGCTGGATTCATAGAAATCCAAACTGATTTGTAACCATCATGCATTTCTCCTGCATTCATTTAACTCCCGGCTGTCTGTAATGCAAGAAGCATTTGACCAGCCTGTCTGCCCCAACACGTGGAGCGGGGGAGGCAGAGGCCATCAACATGAAGGCCACATTTATATCTCGGCCTGTTTCCCCCTGCACAGAACCCACATCCAATTCCTTCTCTCAACAGCCCTGTGAGGTAGGACGGCTGGGAGAGAGGCACCCAGAGAGTATCCATGCCAGCTGGGGACTTGAGCTGGAATCTCTGCATCCCAGTCCCACATGATAACCTCTAGCTGAAGACTAGTCTCCCCAGCTCCATCTTTTCAGCAGAAAGTAAATCAGTGCCATTCCTTAGTATCCCCCTATATTGCATTATGAGGTAGTGGTGGAGCACTGACTTTTGAAACTTTTCAATCCAGCAGTCTCCTTCCCTCCTCCTCCTCCTCCTCCTCCTCCTCCTCCTGCTCCTTTGGTTCATGTGGCACCTTTAGATGGCAGAATTCATCACCTAAGTTTGGTTTCCAAACAACCGCTCATTTTGGTTCCTTTGTAAAAAGTCTGCAGCTTTGGGGAAAAATTCCCCTAGGTCTCCGTGGGAAGGAAGTGGTCCTTTGCTTGTGCATTATTTATTTTTCCTAGGATTTTTTTTACCCTGGTCCACAGCTAAAAGGGACTCTCGGGGCGGCTTGCAAAGACAAATCATGACGCAGTCCCTGCCTTCAGGCGGACAATCTAAAAGTGACAAAACTAAAGGAAAAAGATTGGGAGGGAGGAGGAAGAAAAAGCACCCATTCCTTGTTTCGGACTCAGCATGGGTGTTCTTTGCGGCCAGGAAGGGTGCAGCAGCAGCTGTTCTTCCTCTGGCCAGTGTGTGAGGCCGGGTTGTGGTGGCTTCTCTTGTTGCAGCACCCTTCTTTTCTTCCTGCGATGCATCTTCCCAGGGGTCATTGCTTTCCTGGCTAATGGATGAAGCCCAGACCATTTTTCTGCCTTCTTCCAGGGTTCATGCACTCAGCACATGGGATGAGTTCATGCATGGGGCCACCTAGGGAATACTGTCATCTTCTGCGTCGATGCAGACACAGATCCCTCCACTGGATTAACGCCTTGGTCATCTCCAACCCTTGCAGGTGTGATGGGCACTTTGCGAGCAGACACGATGAGACCCACGCGTCTGTCTCTTGTCCTGCTTCTACTGCTGCTGGAGACGCCGACACACGCCCTCTTCCCTGAGGAGCCTGGCCCCATCTCCGTGGCCCTGGATGACTGTAAGCTTGGAGGGAAGTCATGATGGGTGGGATGTGGCTGAGGCTGTGGATTCCTGCACTACTCAGAAAAGGACGGCTTTGTTGCATCTTCCAAGCTTTTTCTTTGAATAGCTGTCCACAAACCGTTGGAGAATTTTGTCCCTGCTCCCTAGAGAAGGGTGGACAATTGTTTTGGGCCAGCAGACATCTTTCCTTCCTGGATCAAGATGGCAGACTGAAAAATAACCTGCCGAAAGTCACAACACAAAAGGAAAAGCGATCCGGAAGGATGAGGAAGAAAAGGCACCCGTTCTTTGTTTCAAACTCAGTATGGGTGTTCTTGAGCCCTGCCAAAACCCTCCCCTTCCATGATAAAAGCCTGTATTGCCCACTTCCCCCGACACTGTGGGGAGGATGAGCTACAAATCCATTTGTCATCTCCAGTCAGAGGTTGGGGATAACACAGGGGATTTTCACCCCAAGCCTCCAGACAAGGTAGTAGAGCTCGGATTGGGCAGGGGAGAAATTCCGTACCCTGAATATTATTTGGCAAAGCACCACCTCTCCACACGCCCATTTCCACTTTGTCACTTGCAAATGGAATGACGAAACGGGGCGTCTCTTTCCCCAGAGTTGTTTTTCTTTCATGTTTCTCCGGAAGGAAGCGTTGAGTTTGAGGAGGATGCCCACTTCCTGGTCCAGTCTGATCCTGCAACATCCTTCATGCCCAAGAATGAACTCCTAAGAGGATTGTTCAATGTGAATTGACCACAAAATACTTGAAAAAGATTTTTCTTTCTCTCCCCACTCCCCTGCACAATGGAATGATTGCAGACCTCCACAAAAAAACTCATTGAAGACAACTGACAAAATACTTCCTACCCCCAACCCCACTTTTACCACCTGTCTAACTTTAAAAAATAAATGCAGAATTCAGAATTCTGGGACAGAGACTGGCAGGGGAATGCAATAGGAAGGAGCCCAGTTCTAGTGATAGTTGCATTACGACTCAATTCCCCCGACTTTGCAGCTTGTCCCATTCCCACCCTCCACTCTTCCTTCCAAGATGCTCACGTAATGTCTCCTGTTTTATTTCCACAACAACCCTGCAAAGTAGCACAGTCACAACCATTGCTCATTGACCTTTGTGACCAAGCAGTTTTCCCAGCCCAAGCAAACCCCCACCTCTCCGCCACTGCACTAGCTCACCCTTAGTGGCCTGCTCAATTTCAGAAGCTGCTTGTAATTCTCCATTTACCTTTTCCCATTTTCCTGCAGATGTGAAACAGTATTCAGTCTTCGTGGGCAATGGAATAGGCCGGTTCTCCAGCCAAGATGGCGGGGCAGAGCGACTCAGCATCCAGCGGATACTGACATTCAATAGGACGCTGTTCATCGGGGAGAGGTAAATCCTACCCTTATTTAACGGCCTGCAGGTTAAGCAGGCAAAGATCAGGCCAGAATCCAGATCTCTTGCTTCCTTCCCAGACTTGGCCCTGGCCAGGAAGTCCGTAACTCTTTGCACAACCTACGCAAAGTATGTAGCTTTTTGTGCAAAGGGTACCGAGCCAGCAAATCGTGTATGTAGAAGAACGGCACTTGCTCAGCAAGCTTGTGGGAGGCGTCGTACAGGCTGGCCGCACAGACTCCGTGCTGGGCAGGCGGGGCGGGGGCAGGCACGCACCACGATGCAGCGGCGGCTCGCTTGGAGATCGTTTTCTCCGGGCAAGTCCAAAAGGATCTCCGGGCGAACCTGCCACCACCTCCCCGGTGCGGGGTGAGGCAGGCAGCAGCGGGCGCATGAAAACCTCTGAGGAGGGCCCCCGGGCCATAGTTTGAGGACCCATGCTGTAGAGGATCCCACTAATCCAAGGTATGCTGCCTCTGATTGTGGCAGTTCTTTCTAAAGCCTCTTCTGCCTCCAACTGGCCAAGGTGGTGTGAGGACACAGACTGCTGGCAACATTGCAGCTGCTCAGGGAAAGGTTTGCTCTTCAGCTTCCACCTGGGAAGGGAAAGTTTGGGTACGGCTGTGAAGGGCGTCTTGTCCCATCTCTGCTGTGAGAATCACATCCCAGCCTTCCCAGGAATGGATCTATAATTCAAGACCAAGAATTCCCTACATGCAAGAAGATTTGCCCAGCAAGACAGTATACACCCAGTCCCCCCATTACAAATTCATTTATTAATTTATTTAAAGATTTTATATGCTGTCCAATACTAAAGTCTCTGGACAGCTTACAAAAAACAAAACAACATGCAATGCACTGCATCCTACCATTTATTTATTTATTTATTATGTATTAAAACATTTTTATGCCGCCCCATTCGCCGAAGGCTCGGGGCGGCTCACATCATCAAGTTAAAATAATTATAATATAAATTAAAAATATAAATATTAAATTAAAATACAACAATACAGTATAAAATAAGCCACCCTGGCCAAATAAAACCAATAATGTTAAAATGCCGCTTGAATAAAAAGGTCTTTGCCTGGCGCCGAAAAACAAATATTAATGATAAAATCAAAGATAAAACCATTTAAAAGTTAAATATTGGGAAAATATAAAGATCTTCGCCTCATGTCGAAAAGAATAAAGTGATAGCACTGGGGAGTGTGTTCCAAAGTCAGGGCACCACCACCAAGAAGGCCCTCCTCTGGGTACTCTCCCGCTTAATCTCCTTCAAGGAGGGCTCCCAGAGCAGGGCCTCCACCTCAGATCTCAAAGGTGGGCAGGCACACAGGGAAGAAGGCGCTCCTTCAGGTATCCCGGACCCAAGCCATTTAGCCATGACTCTCCAACACCAGTCTCATCTTCACCATCAACCATTTAATGTTAGGCTTAAAGTTAGCTCAAGAAATGTTAACCTTTAATAATCTTTACTATTTTCCTATCTTTCTGTCTTTTACCCAAACTGTTTTAAGAGCTGTACTGAATACCTACACCCATACATGCAAATTTTCTCTCTCTCTCTTCAGTACCAGTATTTATTTTATTGCTACTATATTATTACCATTATTTAAATGCTGTATTGTGTTTAAGATGCTTTGGTGTATATGGAATGTTTCTTGTTTTATATGATTAAGATACATGATCCAACTTACGTACAGATTGGACTTAAAAACAATCTCAGGAAAGAACTTGTTCTTAACCCGGGGACTGCATGCATTTCTCCCCAAGTTCCAAGGTTTACCTGGTAGACAGGTAGTAGAAGAGGACAATTTTTAGGGTCTAGAAGACCCTGTGCCATCAAGAATGACACAAAAGAGAAGGTAATACTCTGGAGTATTTCTGGGTAACCCAGTCCAGGAAACTATTGGTTGGAGGGCTGTAATTTCACACACTGATGTCAAATAAACAACCAATCTCTGGTTGAAGCTATGGGCCAGTTGTGTTGAAGTATAAAGGCAAGGGTCTTTGTAAAGTTTGGTGTATTTATGAATCACTTAATTTTACTCAAGCATACACACAAAATTCACTCTGCTCTTCAGACAGTTAGATCCCCATAAAGCCTCTAAGAACAACAGTGCATAACTAAAACTGCAAAAATGGGTGTTATGCATTTGCTTTCTATGCCACCCAGTCACTGGGCAGCTCACAGTAATTCGTAAAGCGCAACACAGAAGACGCAATGCTCAATAAAACATTAAATACTGAAACAGTAAAATAAAGCATGCAATTCCAGTATCCAAAATTCCAGACAGTTTAAGCAGATGAAACAATTAATTTAAAAAAAGATCAATGATGATGCTGTTTGGGGAGGGGGCAAAACTGTGTGGAGAAACAGCAAACCGCTTTCTGTGTGCAGCCCTGAAGGAAGGGAGGTTCTTGGGATGAGTAAATCCACCGGTTTCGCTGTGGCCCATAAATGCCTTTTGTAAATTTCACAGTGTTATTCTCCTGAATATCTTGGTAAAAGCTGGTCAGGAACAAACTGAGCATGTTTACTAGAGGTGATGTTAGGACACGAGGAGTCCCAAATCTCTAGAAGCCACCTGACCCAAGTACACTGAATCAAACAGCTTCTTCACCTCATCCATCCATTTTCAGGAGCGCAAATTTTTGCAACTGCGAATTTGTGCAAATGTGTTCAGGTGCATCTAAGCAAAATCTGAGTGGACGATGGAATGCCTGGCCTTCTACAATACTTTGCTGGAAATGAAGAAACCACATCTGTCTATTCTAATTTAGGAATTGTACCAGGAGAAAAGCTGAAACAGAGCGAAAGCAGGCAAACTTTTGGTCTGGGGGCCAAATTACATCCCTGGTCCAAGTTGATGGGGTGGATAGCTTTCAGGGGAGAGGCCCCATCCTGAACCCAGCACCTCCCATAAGGTCATCTAGTTCCTCTCCTCTTCTGCATAACATCTCAGAGGAACTAGACACGAGTGGGGAGGGATGGGAATACAGGAGGCCTGTGTAGAAATTCCCAGCTTGCCTCCAATTTCTGATCAATGAAACATCCCCTTTGCAGGGTTCATCCTCAGACAGCAATTCCTCTGGAATTAGGAAGGGCCAGGATCCAGGAAGGATGTAAGGTTTCCCTCCCTGGAGCATAGTATGCAAGGCTTTGAAGTATCACAGCATTTCTGCTCACAAAGGAGTTCTGTGCAGCCCAGAATCTTGCAACAGACCTGTGTGTTCCAAGTAAAAGAAAATGAGAGTTTTGCCTTATACATATGATATCAAGTCTATCAGTTTAATATAATGATGAGGATGGAATTATTCCATTTATGGAATAATTCTAGATGGTTCCACTTATGGAACAAGCTACCCACAGGCACCAGCAGGTTTTATTATCTAATTAGCATCAGGTTTAAATCACCTTCTACTCCAGGCATTTAATGGTATTTAATGCCATATGACGGAGCACAAACATCAGCTATCTTTTGAATATTTTCATATGGAAATTGTTTTTCACTGTTTAAATAGTTTTACAGTTTATTTATTGTTTTGCTTCTGTATTTGGGCCTTTTTTGTCTTGTTAAAGAGAGCTCAGCTATTGAGTGCTATAGAAATGAAATGAATAAATGATCAGTATGATAACATGATTAATAATAATAATAAAGCCGTGGAAGCTTTAACACCTCAGGCTATGCATAGAATCCTAGAGCTGAAAGGGATCTTGAAGGGCATCTAGTCCACTCCCTGCTCAATGCAAGAAACCTCAAGTTGGGGTGTCCCTGTCCACCTTCTGTCTGTCCAGCTCCTGCTTCCGTGCCCCCAGCAAAGGGGAGCCCACTTCCTAAACCACTCCCTCCAAGATGTTTCTCCTGATAGTCAACCCAAATCTATCCTCCTGCAGCATCAGTCCCTTCGATCTCGTCTTGCTGCCATCCATGACGGAAACAGAGAACAAATCTGGGGCTGTGCCATGCTGCATATGCAGTGCCCATCCTCAGTCGTTGTCAATTTGATCTAAAGTAACCCTCTTTGCGGGACTGCAGGTGGCGCAGTTGTTTAAACCGTGGTGCTGCTGGGCTGGTTGACCGAAAGGTCGCCAGTTCGAATCTGCACAACGGGGTGAGTCCCCGTCGCTCCGCCCCAGCTCCTGCCAACCTTGCAGTTCGAAAGCCTGCAAATGCAGGTAGATGAAAAGGTGCCACTTCAGTGGGAAGGTAACAGTGTTCTGTGCACTTCGGTGTTTAGCCATGCCGACCACATGACCAGGGAGACTGCCTGCGGACAAACGCCGGCTCCCTTGGTCAGGAAACGGAGATGAGCACCGCCCCCTGGAGTCAGGCATGACTGGACTTAAGGTCAAGGGGAAACCTTTACCTTTATCTTTTTAACCCTCTTTGCTCAGTCTTTCCAGAGAGGAACTGCTTGCTGTCTTCCTTCAAAGCCATTGGATCCTGTACACCAGACAAGAACTAGTTGGAGCTAAATAAAGTTATGTCTTATGACTAAGGAAACGTGGTTTCTCCAAACATAGAAATGCTCCCTGGAATTAGCTCTGGCCCATTCCCAAGCATGTTCACACATAGCAATGGTTGCTCAGCAAAGAGGGAAAAGTACTCTTTGCATGCTCAGAGGTGGATTTTGGAATTTGAAGTTGCTTCCTGGAAGACAGCCGTAGTTTAAAACTGAGCATGGAAAAAAGATGGGTAGTTCAGGATGAGCCTTTCTTGTGGGCTGACACTGTTGACTATCTCAGCATCAAGGCCCTTGAAACTCTGGTCTAGTTGGAACGCAACAGTTTGGAAGTGCAAGATGATTTGTGGCCCATTCCTACAGAAAACAGGGCACTCTGCACATGTTCCAATGCCCTTTCTTCTCTAAATTGATGGATAGATGGGGGTATCTGTGAACAGATAGACACAGTCTTTGGTTCTGTGTAGGCGAGTGCCTACATGTCTGCATGTGTGAGCCACTGGATACTTCAGTGTCAGAGTGCGCATGCA